AGCTCTCTACAGCTGCTTCCTACGCAGGAGCTATCTTGCACAGAACCACTCCAACCTTGCAGTTGGCTCTGGCGCCAACCCAATTACAAATACACTCGTTACACACTCAGTACAGGTACCTCTAGACACATTTAAAAGAAAGTCCAAGCTTTGATCATTTCGGTGACGCTTTTATCATTTATCACATCAGTCACCCAAGCAAAATGAATGAGGATCACTAAGCTGACAGATCAGGTCATGACGTGCCAAAAGGAGGAGTAAGAACCTGCTTTGCTAACCCTGTCCATGTTCCCAGAACGGTTTACATGGAGGATTTGAAGGGTATAGCTCACTGGCAAGGAATCTAGAGCATTAATACAAATCCTCAGTTTTTTGGAAAGGGAACAATATATACCAATTAGGACTTTGAACACAAATATGTTAAATTATGCCACTGTTGCATAGAGAGTATGACAAAATTTGACCATTTTTTCGATTAAGACTGTGTGACTGGTTCTCCTGGCATGGTACAAAGAATATAGGACCCTCTGAGGGGAGCCCTGCTCCATATATCACGAAACTTTTCAGTGGATATGTCTTCATTGCAAAGATCATTCTGGACAAATAATTCAACAAGCACTGACCAAGGCATGCGTCTCACAGAAAGTTTTTCACTATGTGTTTTACTATACCAAAGTTCATAGAAGCTTAGCAGGCAGTCAAGGGATAAACATTCCAGTGCATGTGTATCCTACAGCGTATTCGTAGACAAATGTCTGGAATCTTGTAGAAAGGTTACACTAACTTCCACAAGCACTAAAACACTTCAATTTTTTAAAAAATCTGTTTGTTTCTACCAGTCATTTAATTTCAAGCTGTGATTTAAGTAAAAGACTCAGCCACCACTGTACTTGGCAATAAAACTTTGGTTTAGGACCCTTGAGAATAACTTTTAAAAAATTATAAAATCATACACATACAAAGGTCTGCCACAACTATTTAAGCAAATAACCATATTCACTTTTACTTTAAACTGAAATAATATGAAAACCCAGCATCTCCCTTGTTTGAATTACAATCAACATGCCAGCTATAGTATAAACAGTACGAGTAAGTTCTCAGTGAAGGCTTTGCTCATTCTATGTATCTAAGTATTCCATTTATTTCTTTAACTGCTTTTTATTTTCAGTTTAGTTCAGGTATTTAATATTCTGAACCACTCAGAAGTATTTTTTTCTTATTGCGAGAACAACATTCTTCCCCAAAGATTTCAGTCAAACACAAAACAAGTGGTCACACTCAGAAATCAGACATGTTTCCAAAAACACTTTCAAACACTGAGCCAAATCCTGGTGATTATGTAAAGATCACTGGAGACTTTCACACCTAGCAGAATCAACAAACTATGTTAATTTAATACTAAATAAAGAACTAGACTTCTCTTCAATATTTGAAGAGATGGACTGTGCACATACATATCTGGGTATACATAAACATATAAAAAATACTTTACTAGCAAATCTGACCTCCGATGAGTCCTAAGATGTTCTCCTGCAAGGTTTTCTCCCTCTCTACACCTTTATGAATCTTTGTCCCCTCATTAAAAAGTCTCAGAAGAAACTACTGTCACCCATACCAAATTTAAAATTAGTTTGGTTTCATACCAAATTCAAAATGAGTTCCGGAGAAAATTACTCTATCCAGAAGACAACTCTTTACAATCTCTCTTCCATGATCCCTTTCTCCTCATTAAATTTCCCAGTAGATTCTAAAAGCTTTCCACAGCTATCACACTTGGAAAAAGCAAGGCTACAGAGTCAACCACTATCTAATACTGAAAGGTATCAAAGCTTCTATGAAAAGCTATTTAGATATATTTCAGAATTAGCCATTAATAACATCTATTAGCTCCCTATAGCGACTACTTTTGTAAGATATTTACCATCCTTACAAAAATCCTTGGTCTGTATCATGTATCTGAGCCTAGAACTCAGGAAGGATTTTATGACATCTGGAAAAGACATACATTACAGAATAGTCAACTGCATAAGAAGAACACAGAAAAACAACCCCCTCCAATTATTGTCTAAACATTTTTCAAAACTAGGAAACAGCTAAATGAGCTTGGCATGTTTTCTGCTAAATTCAGCAAGTCAATCTAAAACAAGAGGAGGTGGTGTATTTGAGTCTTCTTTGTAGCAAAACGCACAGAAAGACTATTAAATTTTCCCAGATTAGTCAGCACTTGCCTGGTTTCTAATCTGACATAGAAGCAAGATGCTTCATGGGGCTCCACATTGCATATACCACAAAAACTGATTACAGGCCATCTTTAAAATAAAGATAGCCAAGATAAAGTTCTTTTGCTCATAGGAATCTGATTCCATCATAGACAATACTCATTCTCCAACAAGATATCCAAAATGTTAACACCTTTCTAAAAATAGACTTAAATATCTGTTGATTAACTTACTTTGAAATATCTTTGCTGTCATGTTGCCATGGAAATATTATATTTCCAATGGCTGCCCGGTAACTGTAGACTCCCAAGAGCCCAAGTGCCATAGCGATTTTTGAAACCAGAGAGCATTTTCTTTGAACCAGAATGAAGATCATAACCAGGGAGACTGCAGCCAAAAAGGAGAGTTCAGATTTGTGTTCTGAGCTGAGGAGAAAACAAACAAACAAACAAACAAAAAATTCAAACTACTATAATTACTGCAAATGCACTCAACAGACCTTTAACAGCAGCACCGTATTTCTGAATTAATCACTGCATTGACATCTGTTACCAACTTTCCAAGAGTTACAGTAAAATATTTTAGTATTCTTAGCAAAGAGGTTTTATTAATGAGGTTTTCTATTCAAGCATGCATGTTTAGAAGTGTAATTATCATGTCTCACCATATGCTAGCTGTTCTGTTTGATTTAATTATATAAAAACTGAACTGCATATTGCATAATGGAAAAGGTTCTTATGCTTTTAAACTAACTTTTTAATATATATTTAGAAACTTACTGCATTCTGCTTCTGCTACAGCACTTCATTTTCTAGCACTTGGCAGAAAAGATTTTATTACTATGATACTAGCATAATTACCTCCTTTTAAATAACTACACATGCATTCATTTTGTTTAATTCTAGACATACAAAATACGACCTAGTCAAAATAACCAGAAATACACCTAGATAGTTTGAAACACACACACACAAACAAATTTGCATGATGCTGCTCTCTTTGACAAACGCATTGCCCTGTACCAGACCAATGCACACAGAGGAGAAGAGCAAAGAACTTGCATTGTGACCAGGAAGAAGGGAGATGCAGCTGTCTTTTTTTTCCCCAGCACCCAAATGGGCAAAGAAGGAGCATTCCTGGATCAATTACATTTCACTGAGAATACTGACAACTGGCATTTACTCAAATCTACCAGTTTGTGGTGATATCAATTAGTGGTGCAAAAGGTAAGAGGATTAGGTAAAGATCTGTGTGTAGCCACTACCACAGCTAGCTAGGCAATTTCAGAAAATCCATGAGTTGATAACCTCCACCTACCTGTTGCAACTATTCCCAAAAGACTCAGAACCACTAATTTTATTACCTTTACCTAAGACCTTTAGGCCAGGAGGGCCATTTTCATTTCTCTTCCATATTTCAGAATGCCATGATGAAACATCTTTAACTTCAGCAAACCAACAGTGAGTGTGACCTGCGTCTCAATTAACTAGCTTTACCTTTCACTTAATCAAAACTAGCACTGAACACGGTTCTATTTACCTATCCCTCCCATATGCTTTATTTAGCATTTAACATTAGCTATGTCAACCGATATCCTTGCAAAGCCACAGAGGAAAGCATGTAAGGCAAAGAAAATGCCCTACTCGTCCTCCCAGCAGGAACCAGCAAGCTCTTCACATCATGTAGCAAGGCTCCCAGGGGATGCACTGCCTGCTGAAGGGGAGCAGCAAAAAATGAAAGAAAAACAAAAACTAGAATACGAAAAGAGATAAAACTGTGCGGTCTAACCTCACTGTGGGTTTTTTTTCTCTATAGGAAAGAGAGTAGAAGTAGTGAGTTGACTGGTGCAGGAACCCGTGAGCTTCATCTATATGTTCTTACTCTAACAACTGTTTGTCTATACTTCTATACTTTTGGCACCACAGAAAAAATGGAAGACATTTCTTTCCACTTCTTTGACCTCATCCCATCACCGCAAATACAAGCAGAATGAAAGGAATTATAAGCGTAGCTGTAATTTCACATTTTAGGCGAATAAAGCCTGTTCACACATTCAGTTTCTGTCTGCTCTTCCACTCCTGAATTCCTATACAACAGAACACACAGAATTCCCATAGTATGCTACTTTTTTCGGAGGTGGATGCAAAATTTATTTTTTAAGTACAGTATTGAAAGAAAATGTCATCGTCTCACACAGCTGTTCCTCATCAGTTCTCTTCTGATATTTCCTCTTTTGCACTGAACCACATAGAGGCTCTGATACATTCCCAGTGTCATCTCTGCTCTGGATTAAATGCCTAACGAAGGTAATTGAATCCCAGCTATGTAAGAAACAAAATCCTATTTTCAGGCAAATTTAGTGAGTGCATTTTCCCTTCTGTTTCATTTAATATCTACTTTTTTGTTCCACTTTTCCCCGACCTAAATTTTAATTTTCTTTCTATGAAGGAATTGTTGCAGCAGGTTTCACAGAGTCCCTCTGCAGATGAGGAAGACTGTTTCCCTAACTTCAGTACCGTTCTATTCATTCCCAATAGCTGAATTCAACACGCTGTGGGTAAATTGATTTTCTGCAGTTTGTTTCTGGCATTATTCCGTGCACCAACCATCACAACAGCTCCTTTGTCTCAAACAAATGAACCCTTTTCAGGTAGAACACCTTAAACCCTGTCCAGACAAGCAAAATATTAGTCTGAACATGACCATATCTAAAAGGTCAATACAAGAGAAAAAAAAAAAAAAGGGAGGGATTACTGTTCAGCAGTTTGTCCTCAATACAAAACAGAAGTATGGTTAAGAAAATCCTAAGCAGCAATAACTCAAATAACAAGCTATACATGATCTCAGTAAGGTTCTAATTTCTTTTTGATATAAATTGTTCTATTAGAACATAGTTATGCAAATATCATACATACTAAAAATAGAAATACAATCAACCTTAAAGAAGAGCAGGGCATTTTGAGAAAGCAAGTGATTTATACAAGTGAGTGATTTATATATCACTTTTTGGATTATGCTACAAGGAAAACAAAACACTTTGGTCATGATGGAAAAAACAGGGCAACAGCCACCCCTGTGACCCTGCTGCCTGTAGCGGAGTATTGGACGTCAGTGTCAGGGAGCTACAGGGGTGACGTGTGGGACAGGAGGCCATGAGCAGCTCTGAACCTGGCTCAGGCAGGTCCAGACAACGCTAAAACAGGTGGACAAAAAAGACTTCAATCAGCCAGAGATGCATATGCATCTCTGCTTAAGCATATTTAAGAAAAGGCAGTGAGCATGAATGGTGGGAGACATAGGAGGATGCACGAACAGGAGACATGACATGACAGAGGAGACGTGAGACACATGCAAAGAGCCTCACAAGGAGACACAAAAAGGAGATATTAAAGGGACAGAGAAGGGAACAGCTGCAGGGGTGTTCGTGCAAGGAGGCAAAGTCCCCAAAGGGATTGTGAAGGCCCCAAGCTGGGGCAGAAACACTGCCCAAGGGATTGTGGCTCACTGACAAGCCAGGCAGATCCCCGAAGGGGCTGCATCTCATAGAGGGTTTGCACTGGAGCAGAGGACCTGCAGAAAGCAAGGAGCAGTGGAAGGAAAGAGCCATAAGCAGAGTGGCAGAAAGAAACCACCGACAACAACCTCCTGCACTGCCTCCCTGAAGGTACTGGAAGGGACTGACTGCAATGTTTGATGACAACCAGGTAAGCAGAGAAGTAGAATAAAACATCTTGGCCTGAAATTGGGCCTGAAGACAGGAGAGGAAAGATGTTTCCCTAAGTGCTTGTTTAGTTGTATCTTCTTTGTTTTCCAAAACCCAAATCAGCAATTAAAAGTTTATGTAGATTAACAATAATTAAATGGAGTGAAATTTTCTCTATCAAGACTGTTTTGCCTGCAATGATTGGAGAAGCCTCATAGATGTTAAAACCTCCAAAATACAGGAAATGCCAGCATGTTCAACAAGTATGAAATAGAGATAATCTACAAAACAGAGGATGTGCAAAGATATAGTTGCTTGGTTTGCCAACAACATCAATGGAACAGCCCCAATTACTGATCAGTTTACCCTCTTTCTGCACTCCAGAGGGTTCTGAATTTTCAGAAAGCCCCAAAATGTAGAAGTTTGAAATTCAGTACTTCTTCCTTAACCAGATTTGAACAGCACATGAGCAACGCTGTCACCAGCAGCAAGGAGAAGTGTTGATGTCTGCAGCACTTCAGAGGATGCAGATATTTCCCAATTTTGTTTCTACATGAATTTCAACAGCAGCAGTGCCAATTTGCACATTCTTCCACTCCTGCATTCCTGTACTATGCCAGCCCATGCACTCTACCTGCTTATTTGCCTGTGAAGCTCAAGGGTCAAGGGGGTGAACTCATCCAGCTGAAACATAACAGTTTCCCACTCCATCTCGGGTTACTTTTCTGGCTACATCAGTACAATGATTTAGTTCACCACATTGCCAAAGTTAACAGCTGTACTGCTAAAATGCAGAGCCAAAGACAAGAGGTGCATGAAAGGAGTTATACTGCTTTGCACAGCAAAGAGCTGTTGTAAATATCATTACCCCTACACAGACAGGCAAAATCTGAGAATGTAACTGTAGGAACTCTTCTATTTGCTTCTAGGCCCAAGAAAATACACCCAACATGAGGGGATAATTAGAAAGGGAAAGGTCAGTGTTCACCTGTAAGATTAAGTTTTTGTTTGATATCTGCCTATTGGTACTTCAGCCTTACTGAAGCCAACAGCTTTAAAAGCAGAGTTTATAAAGGGGGAATACTAGCTGACCAATATGAAAGCTTTCTGTGATGAGAAGATTGTTTCAGTGCATGAGGGGAGAGCAGTAAGTGCTGTTTATCTTGGCTTTAACAAGGTTTGTGATAGTCTCGCATAACAAAGAGGAATGGGGCAACTTTTTTTTTACTTGAGTGGCAGGATTTTACTTGGGGTGGGATTTACTTAACTGGATTTACATTTAAACAAGTGGGTCGATTGAAAACTCTAGCTAAGAAGGAATGCTGAGCTTACAGAATTTCCATGCTTTTGTGAGGAAGACCTAAAAGCACTTGCAGTAGCCACAGACTGTATGTCATCTGTGCCGCACACACACAATTTTTCAAAGGTTGGTAACATTTCCATGTGTTAGCAAATGTTCACAGGGAGACAACAGCAGCAAATGTACTTTTCTTACAACTTTTCAGCTGCCAGAACATTTGAGTTTTTGTTCCATGGTACTGCAGCGTTAGAATACTTCAAGAAAAAGGGTTGCAAAAACATACCCAATGAAGGCAAAACAACATTCTCAAAACTGCAGAGCTGTTTCTTTAAAGGTGTCCCAAATTCTCCAGTTGAAGACAACACCCGGCACAAAAAGTCATTGGGCAAAGAAGTACTTGGAAGTTACCTGGTATTAGTCTAAAAAAAACCTCCCAGTTGCACTAAATCACACCTAATTCTGTTTCTAAAACAGAACTGTACATGCACTGACTTAGCTTATAATAAAGGAGTTCTTTTCACACAGATTTAGCTGAAGGAATATGACATTCTTTCCTGAACCCCTCACCTCATCTCAAGAGGTATAAAGCATGACAAAAGCTTTGGTGTACGCCAACTACTAAAATGCCACAAATTTTCTCACATCTCACACCTTTCAGACTCATGCCTGTCACAGCAATTAGTACGTTAACTGTGAGGCTGCTAATAAATAACTAGTCTCATGTTTGTTCATTTCCTTATGTGACTACTAAAGAATAACGGATGACATTTCATCCAAATGTTGCAAGATACATGGAAAAAAATTCTTCATCTTACATAGCAAAGCTTCCCCACCTGCAAAACCTGACTAGTTACAAGTTGTTGTTTCTCTGTCCATCAGCTGAAATCAAGGAACACAGTCTCCAGCTGAAATACCAAGTATTTTTTAATAACTTGCTGTATCTTCATGATACTAAAATGTAGTAGAAAGTCTTTTTCCAAAGAAAGGCCTTTCTCAATAGGACCTCTGGCTATAAGAAATTACATGTCCTTTCTCAAAATAATAATAGTTGATCATACCACACTTCAAAAATTCCTTCACTTTTCCATCCACACATTAATGCCTGTGATAGACATGTAAGTATTCTAAGTGCAGCATCTTCTCCTGCAACCTCATAAAGTTTGGAATTAGGAAGAGAACTCTCTGCTTTAAATTAAGGGTTTAATGCTATTAAATGATTTACATGATTTTTAATTTCCCCGACCAGCAACTGTTAATTTACATACGGAAAAATATTTACTTTTTGACTCTGATAAACCTATCATGATTAATTAAAATGAATTAGGTAAGTCACAGTGTGGGTCTAAGATGACAATCTATTGACAGAACCCAAGGAATTACTCCCACATAATCGAGCTCTCAAAAATCCCTTATACTGCTTCACTGCTTACTCCCTCAGCAGGTTTATAGCACACCCTAGGCTGTGCAAGGACTGTGCAGAAACATAGACTTCAAAAAACAAAACAAAAGCTATTTTTTTAATAAGAAAGTAACTATGAAAGCAATAAATCAGATACCCACCTTGTCAACCAGTGTCCAAAATCTGGCCGATGAGCCCACTGAACTCCTGTCTGATTCAGGGACCGAAGTAACCGACAACAAATAAGGATGATCCATGGACTTGCTAAGCTTATCCACTTATCAGATCCTTTTAAGAACTCAGCAGAAGCAGTGACCTTTCCCAACTTTGCATCATCTGCTGCAGGTATATCAATATTCTTGCACTCATAGGTTTCCTTGGCATTGTCAAAATTTTGTTTCAGAGTGATGCTATGCTGAGAGCCACCTTCCTTCAGAATAAAATGATTTCTACAAAGTTCTTGACACAGTGCCAAGCAAAGGGTATTGATAAGAAAATACCAGGTTTGATGTTCCTCTTCTATAAAGCTGCTTGCACCCAAACTCAAGACATGACCAATTGTTCCTGCCAGAATCAGTACGTCAACTTCTGACCAGCTGGAATTGGACACAACCGGATTCTGCAAACAAAAAGGTATATTGGTATTGAAAGCGTGTAAGATGCATCACTTAGATAAGAATTCAAAGTAGCAACTCACTCTAAGAAAAACAAACAGTGAGACAAGTTATTTTTATCTTGAGAGTAGTTTCCTCCGTTTTCTTAAAAAACAAGGTTCATTTTGATGCAAACTGTTTAGTTAGCATCACAATGTAATTATACTCTTTAAAATGCATTGCGTTTAAGCTAAGAAACTTCTCTATGAACAATCACAGCTCTACAGAGTCTGTTTCTCTACCACTTTGGGACAAAAGGTTTGAAACAAGCTCTTTCCTTGTTGCACATCAACAGGAGTGAAAAATAGAAGTCTTTCAGAGATCAAAATTTGAGATACAAATAATAGTCAATTTTATAACAGTTTAAATATCTTCTCAGCTCAGTACAGTAAGAGAGCCTTCATAACTTAAATTAACAGACAGTCTGATGACACCCCCTTATCGTTGCTTAGACCTACATGTATATGTCATCATAAAATCTGCCATAAATCTTATCCATTATTTACTTCACATGCTACAACCATCCAAAACCACAACAGTCTTTGTCTGACGTCTGCCTTAGGTCCATTTCTTCCTCACAGCAATTACTTGGAACAAATCATTGCATTCAAATGTGAAAGCATCTGGCTCAGTAAGGTTATCAGGTCAGGGCCGCTTGAGTTCAAATATAGTAATATATCAGAGTTAGAATTACTTAGAGTGAGTAGAGGGGAAAGAGATAAATGAAACACACGGAGACACAAACCTGATAAGCAAGTGCCAAGGGAGATAATAAGGAAGATCAAAACTCTTCAGCTACTAATTGATGGGCCATTAAGAAACCACAGGCATAGCTCTGAAGACTTTGTAACTGATAAGAAGGGGGAAAACCACCAAAGTGAGTATTACGGATATTGTAGGACTATGCAAAACCTTCTAAGGAATGTGAATGCTTATGGGAAAAGTCAAAGGTGTGGGAAAAGGGATGGTGAGGATCATGGAGGGAGAAACAGAAGGCAGAAGGTTAAAAATGGCCAGTCATGTGAGACCATATGTGGGTCTGTAAACTTGTCCGACTAAGCCGTGTGCCCTATCACCTCTTATCAAACCCCTTTGCAAGTGCCACAAGGTCTAAAAAGCAATAACTGGGAATGGGATCAAGCTACAGGCCTACAGGCATGGCTGCCAGCAACAAGAGACTGAGTAAAAACAGGTACCACCAGCTGGAGAGGGACCACAGAGGCTCACAAGGCTCCACTTCCCTGGGTCACACGAGCCATGAGCTGGGCTGAAACTCCAGCAACTCCATCACGCTAACCTGAAAGATCTTGGCTAAGTGATTGCCAGCACATAAGCACCATCTGCTCACACAGACAACAGAATCCGAGATCCTCAAAGGAGAGGGAACTGTCTTCAATACAATTCATTTCTGTTCTTTAGAACAAATAACAAAAAAATCTGTGTAAGGGTTGTTTTCTCATATCTAGTGGTTGTCAGCACCAATACAGAAACAAGTTCATTTGGCAGAACAGCAGGTTCATAAACTGGGTGAAGTGCTGTATTTGCAACAGAGAAAATAAAACAACTTCAGTGTTAAACAACCCGATGTCTAAAATCCAGATTTCAAGCCTACTTGTATGACACTTACAATTTTAGTGAAAAGAAAAAAATAAACTTAATCCTATATTACCATCAAGAGGCTTATTCCAACAGCATTTATTGCTAAACTGCATTTCATATCACAGCTAATCACTTGAGCAAAAAACTGTGCCCTACAAATTATAATCCCATGAGCCTTAGTGATCTAAGAAATACTAAGAAGCATTCATCATTTTTTCTAAATTTACTAACACTTCCCTCCTCATTAAAAATGCCATCATTATAGTTTATTTTCACACAGCCTATCATTAGATTATTTAATTATAGTGTTTAGGTCTGATTTTCAGACATGGGAGTACAGGTCCTACTCTCAATACTCACAGCTCTGTTTTTTCTAGTTGCTCAACACCTCCATCCCCCCAGGATCAGGCAGGCACCCCAGACCTGAGATAACCTGTATGACTGGGACCCACACCACAGCACACAGGCTCAACACAGACCCTTGCACTGTGTTTTCGAAATGCCAGGCTTTCAGCTGAAGCCTGTAATTTACCAACCAGCGTCAGCTTTAGTGTTTGATGCACCAGCATCATCTATTAAGCAATACAGAGGCTGATCTCCTTGCCCTGGGTCTGAATGTCTCTTGCCAGGTTGGGGACAGGAGTGCCAGTACATGAACAGCAGAAAACATGCAACCTTGCCTATAAAACATTTTATTTATTGGAAATTGAACTTCCTGTACTGTACCCTCCAGGTCCAAACCTGGTTATGTGTTTTCTGTAGGGATGATAGAAAAGCTATTTCTCACAATAACTAATCATTCATAATTAATATCGGAGGAATTTTACACGATTACTTTTCAGACGAAAATTATACTCCATTTTTCTTGCCTATAATCCCCCCAGAACTAAACTACTAACATTGTTTTTACCAACTTTGACACTTGAGCTTCCTGCATCATCTTGATTTACAACAATTTTCGTAAAACAGAATAGCAGAGACCTCTTTCGCTCCTGTTTGAGGTCATTTTTGAAAGCTACCCAGGCAAGGTATCACCTTTCTTTTCAGAGTCAAAAAAGACAGAATATTGTTACATAAAATTGTACAGATGTGTTTTTCCATTACATTTAATCAACAATACCATATAGAGAAGAAAAAAAAGGTGATGACAAACAGAAAAGGGGATTTTTTAAAGTAGCACCAAAAAAACCTACAATTAGTGCATAGTAAAACTTCTGACAAGTTTTATTTGACAAAATTTAATCTTTTAATTATTATTTTCAAAAAACTAGTACTTCTGATTTTTTTCTATCAGAAATAAAAGAAAAAGGTTGCAACTAGTAGTAAATCTTGTACAAAGAAAACTATCAAACAATTAGCGTGAAGTGATGCACAAAAGTTAACATTTCTGAAGATCTGCCGGAATTCATAAAGGACTGCAGGACTATTTAAAGCTTCAAGTGTCATCAAAGGAAGGGACGGGTGCTGTTGGAAACATAGTAATCAGAACCTATAAATAACAGCCAGGAAGCAGATGCTAACGCTGCCTGCAGCATCATGGTCTTCAGAAAATTCATGAACGTGGTAATCAGCTTCTATATTCAGGCACAGTGAAAAAGCAGCCATACAAATGAGAAACACTTCAGAGTAAACTCTTCAAAGATGTGAACGGAAACAATTAAAAAATAAATAAATAAAATATCTCTGAAGCCATTAGCAGGAGAGTTTATCTTAAAAGCATTTTAAAATACCTGCACTTTATATATAGCATAAGCTTGGAAGAGGCTTTTAGGTTTTTTTAAACGACAAGACCCTGACTGAGGATCTACCCCCGACATCAGAGCTGCTTTAAAGATAGAGGATCTCACACTATAGAGAAGCACATGTCGTGGTCACTTGGATCTGGGACATTTGAGGATAACACTCAAAAATCACACAGGAGACCCTTCAAGATCAAAATGTAACATTCATTTTCTCCCCAAAAGCCAAGGGATAGCATAGGAAAAGAGGAAGGAAGATAGGACATGAGAGTGTGTGAACTATACTGCTACTGGTAAAAAAATCTCTCATCCACGTTGTAGGCATCTCCAAACTATTCTGAAATAAATACAGTTATTTCAGATAAGTATAAACAGTTATCTGAAAACAATCACCACTGCCATATACTTCTGCAGCAGCCTTGGGGCTGGCAAAAGTATAAATCAAGTTCAGGTTGCTGCTTTCACATAGTAAGGAACTAAACCTGAAGCATATTTCAGGCTTTCTCTGGAACAAGGACAGCAAAGCCTACGGATGAGACATACATCTAGCAACCCAGTCATCTGCAGAATATGAAGAAGCCTCGATGACGAAAATGGATTCTTGCAGGTTGGGAAATGAATGCATGTGTCCCTCATCCAGAATTATTATTGCCTACACTTCTCGAGACATACTTCAGCTTCCCACGTTTTCAGACATGCATCAGGTGGGAATACGAACACAGGCAGCCCAGGAATACAGCATCTGGTACTTCCTATTTATAACTGCCTGAGCCTCAGGAAGAAAAAAAAATCTTGAAGACATTGCTGAAAACCTCCTCATTCATGGATTACCAGCTAAAAGCAGCTGAGATCATCTGTTAGCACGTCCTGAGCTGCCAGCTAGGTAAAACTCCAGAAAAAGATCAGGATGTACCAATTCCAGAGACTCGCCCAACTCTCCAGGCCAAATGGAGAACACTTGGTAACCGTTCCACTACAGAAAAAGGACAGATATTTTCAAATGTGACATGAAAATAACTATCTTCACTTTCAAGAAACACCAACTGATACATTTTGTACATGATAGAACTGTTGCCAACAACATAAAATTCGATTTGTGAGTGAAGGGTTTTTTTTTCATCTTCTTAACCTCCAGAAAGGTCTCAATAACTAGGACAAATAAACTGTTGTTAAAACTTTTTCTTCAGGCCACAGAGCACAGGCTTTATAGCCCCAGAATCAATGAGTGAGAAAGCCGCTGTGCTGCAGTCATAAGCACAAGGCAGGGTGCTGGAGGAAAGGGTATGAAATGGGATACAATAACCCGGGCATCATTTGTATCATTTCTAATCATCCAGCCTGTCTATTTTCATACAACTTGTTCGCAAAGGCAGATGCATGCAGAATGCAGGGGTGAAGGAGAAAGACAGCTGAAATAGGAGCAGTAAATAAAGGCTTTCTCACACATTCCCCAGGCAGCACAAACCAGGTGCAATCATGAGCAATGGCCAATTAGCCATTGAAGTTTAGCCATGGAAGTCCAATTTCTGCTGTGATGGTCTCGGAATGATTAATTGCAGATGTGGAAAAGCACAGATACCAGCGGTGCCTTTGTTTTTAGTGTAATCCCTGAGGGAATTACCCACCTCCCCTGGGATGAAGCAATGAATTCCCCTCACAAGAAAAGGCTTTCTACTGAACTCAGGTTTTGAAATTAAGAGAGATTTTGCAATGGCTGCTGCGAGCACTGACAGGGCAGCTGCATTAGCAATATATAGGCACCTGCAGGAAGTTATTCACACCAGCAGCTGTCTCTCTCCAGCAAGGATGAAAATGTGCCAAAAACAGGTGGGAATGAAACCCTACGGGTCAGGTCAAATTAGAAAAAGCAGAGCTTGTACCTGTCAAACAATACTTGGAAACTTCCTATTTTAAACTGAGTAATAGCCAATAGCATCTGCCTGGATTCCAGTCTGTGTGCTAGTAGGAAAAGACTCTGTCTGGGCCATAGAGTGTCAAAGAAGTCAAAACCTACACTATGGCATGCAGAACAACACAATACCATTTCCACTGAGGTGATACCACTGACCACCAGACCTGCAAGTTCTGGCATCAGCAAATTTAAGACTTTGTGGTCCATTCTGAACTGAAAACTGAGTGAACTACCAGGCCACGATGCAACCAGTGCCCACAAGCGTCAAACGTGAATGTGCTTTCCGTTTGGACCTGGATAGGCCGTAACAATCCAAAAACCCCCAGGGAGCTGCCTGTGTATCTGGAACACAGGGTGCACGTTTTTTCCTATCTTAGATCACAAACGGAGAGAAATTGCTCAGAAAGAGAAGCTAAAAGAAATGCAAAGGAGTTTAAGGCACTGCAGGGTAAGGCACTGATGGAAGAGCCAGTTACTGCTGGGGGAGGGAGAACACGCAGAGGCCTGAATCTTTGCTCCAAATTCCCTGATGTACAAACACAGCCTCAAGAAGCCTGGGTCAAACATGCCTCAAAGAAGCACTCAAGGAGCTCTCTAAAACTCACTGGGTAAAGGAAGGCACCAAAAGGTAATGGGGTGAAAGATTTACACGGAGTTCAGGTACTCTTTTTTTGGTCACCTTTTTGGCACTTACTAGTCCCAGTGTATAGGGCACAAAGCTGAAGACCTCGCTGTTCTTTAACAAGACTAAAGGCTAAAGACTAAAGAGCCAAATAATACCTACCATAACCACAGAAGCTGTAGCTGTGCAGCCTCTACGGAGCTCTACAGAAAATCTGAACAGAGACTTCTTGGCACAAGCAGGCTCAGTTACTTCGAGACTACGGTATGAGAAACCAAAGCTCTAATCTATTGCCATTCTCCTCAACTTCATCTAAGTGGGAGCTCTGTGACTTTAATGCAAGCCATTTTTAGGTTTCCTAACATTAAATTTAGAAAAAAAAATCTAAGTTCTAAATTTTTTTTGAAACTTAGAAAAAAAAGAGAAATGAGCTTATCTTCCACAGTTGTGTTTAATATTGCACACCAAGTAAATGCTAAGTTTCTACAGAATATATGGGGTAATTAATTACTATTTTAGAACCATTATTATATCTGTAAAATACACAAAGCTATATAAAACCTAATAGAATAGTTCAGAAATGACAAAAGTGAACTGAGACCGCTGAAAGACCAACATGCCCTTAAGGATTTGCAATAGAAACAAATTGTAAAACTGGACATCTCATTCAAACAATCTCTTTACGTGGCTTATTTTTACTTACTTCTCTCAATTGCCTTGAAAAATTTCACCAATATGATCAGATTTGGTAGCAAAATTTTAACTAACAGGAAACAAAAGGTCTTTTTATGCCCAAAGCAAACTTGGAAAAAGATGGTTTGATTAGCATTTTTACCAAAGACAAAACTTCTTTTCTTAGCATTACAAAGCAGAAGGGATACTTGCCTTGTTTCTCTAGTTTAGTCTGTACAAACAACTAATAGACATACCTAGCCCTTAGGTTGCTAACGAAGGTAAGAATGAAAGATCATGTTTTATCTACAATTCCCTTTTCCAAACAATTTTAACAGTAAAGTGAATTATACCAAAGAAAATCAGGAGAAAAATGGCGGGGGAGGGGAGCTAAAGCTCTCTCTACAATTGAATGGCAGCATTTCAAAGAAGGAATGATGCAAATTCAAGAATGACAGGAACAAAATGAGAAACTACAACACTATAGCTTCAATAATAACACATGCCATCTTACTTAAAAGGATTTACATTATGCAGTTAAGCTCTGGAATGATAAAATATAGTTATATAGAATCCAGATATTAAGCTCCACTCAGGAGTGGTGAGTTTTTTTCAATTAAATTAGAGCTTTTATTAAATGGTCTGCAATTTTGCTTATTGGCTTGAAGAAATATGTCATCATACCATTAATACAATATACTTGCCTTATATTGTTACATACTAAGAAAAAGTGTATTAAAGCCTCAAATCCTATTCACACTAACCCAGACTGACTAAGGACAGCACTGCCTACCGGGTGCAATAACAGCATTAAGTTCCTGAATTTCAGAGACCTTTGAAAGATATGAGTAAGCAGCATCAGAAAGAACAGCAAGAAGCTGGTTTTATGATGAGAATGACGGTTCTTGGCATATTAAGTTTGAACCTGAAAGAAGAATATGACATTATGAATTTTACTTTGCTTAGCATTTCCTGGATTCGGCTCAATAAAACAGTGCAACTCATAAAGTACTTTAAGAAGGAAAACACTCAAACAGCCAAAAAGATTTCTGAACATTCCGAAGACTCTGACAAACTCAGTTTCTTAACCATTTTTCTCCAGTAAGAAGAAACGTTTTTTTTTGTTGCTGTTGTTGTCTGTTCTCTCTTTTATAGTTGAAAACGGTTTTAGAAACACCTTGAGAATTTCTACCAAGGAGCACTGGCAAAGTCTTCTCCTACTCACAGCATTAACGGCTTTGGCATTGACATCACCAGTGCATGCTGTTGTAAAATACCACACATGTTGTACTGGTCGTAACTGTGAAACAACACTGCATAGAAACATAAAATTGGTATACTGTATAATTGTTTCTCACCCAGTGAAGTCAACTGCAACATAAATTATACAAAATAGGCAATTTCTTAATAGTAATGTAAAAAGGAGCGCTCCTAAGGTCTTCATTATAGCAAGCACTATTATGCCACAGTGAGTATATCACATTTCAATTACACTTGTTAAAATATCCAAATTACACCACAAAGTCTTTCAATACACAGAGCCAAAACTCTTATAAAACTATTATGGAAAGTTTGCCATGAACTGCACTTCATGAATGCTCTCACCTTCACTGGAGGTCTGGAATTCCCCAGGGCTTTTCCCACAGCAGACAAAATTCCACATAGGAGTGCGGAAATCAGCACCATGACCCCAGCTGCCGTGAACCAGGACATACTGCAGAAATAGCATAAACTTTCTGCTGAGGTGCACACAATGACGTGAACAGCACAGAGCACCAGGCACATCAAGTAAAACAGCAGGGAGAAGAGCGGGGGTGAGAGGGGCACTTCAAATTCTGCCCGGCTGCTCAGAGCTTTGGGAGTGACGAGCAAAAGCAGAAAGAGAACCTGGAAAAAAAACCAGAGAAATTAAAGGCTTGGGGTCGGCTAAACCATACAAGAATTCACACATCCATACAAAAAGAGGAATACTGTTACCATCCATATCATGCTGCTAGTATGCATATATCACAAAAGAAGTAAAATACTGTGAAGAACTATATTGAAATTTGGATCTCACTGAGGTATTATCAAATAAAAGGAGAAATAAGGATTGTATTTTTATTTATCAGTTCAAGGGCTCAGACACACAGGTTGCCAGGGTTTAATGACTCACTGTAACCCATCACATGCACGGCCTTCATTCTCTGCAATGGCAGGAACGCTGACACGCAAATTCACAACAGATCCCAAGCTAACAAATTTTTATCATTTTTATCAAGAGGCTACTAACTGTTATTATCAAGTTACACACGTGTTCTAACAATGATTGTTTCTCCCCCAAGTTATGGATACACAGAGCTCTCACTGAACTAAATGGTCTCGCAGGCTTGGAAAAGTTCTCATGCTAACACACGTGCACATGTCATTTTTGGAGCTTATGAATTCTTCGTATTATTCCCTGTCCTCCTCCTCCTCCTCTCAAATTGCTTTATTGGTTTCATTTTTTCAGAGCTAATGCTTTGCTCCAACCCACACAAAGATCAGGCAGAATTCCAAGTTTCCTCACAGGTAACTGCAGCAGTGGAGATGCATACTAATGTGAATAATTTCTGCACAAATCTTTACAAACAAGGAGTTCATTCTAGTAGCAATCCTTCTTCTCCATAAGGTACTTCGCACAATTCACATGGTTATGAAAATAACCAGGCTCCAGGGTACCAAACCAGGTTAAGTTTCACTTTTTCTTTTTTAATACAGCATTTGCAAATAAAAATTGCACTCACGACAGGAAAACACTCAAATTGTATTATCTATAAAATCTAAATTTGGCCCCTTCGGGCGAAAACTCTATGGACACACACTGCCATTATTTATCCATTAATTCCTCAGAGGTATTCTAATTATTTAACATACTGGACAAATTGCATTTAGAGAAGTGTTTGGTTTGAAGCCACCTGTGAGATCCCCCTCCCTTGCTTATCCAATGACACTTAAAGAAATGTAGTATCGAGACAAAAAGAAGATTTTGGAAAGGAAGGTAGTGCGAGTGCTGCACGAAGGAAAATAAACATGTATTTCCACCCCTTCTGTACAGACTCATCAAGAGATGCTGAGCGATGCCCTGTGTGACCAGCACCCCCAGGCTCAGAGCAGTTCAGGGGGCAGGTTCTCCATGAGGCTCAGGAACATAGGACGTGGTTCCTCAGTCCTTGCTGCTGCACAGAGCAATGTTCATCTTAACACAAGGGTGCCTTTGTTTTCGATTAGTAGCCACAGCTATCAGACGGACCAGGTGTAAATGCTTCTTCCTGAGTTTATCAAAGCAATGTGAACCTCTCCCTGAGATGGCCCAGGCCAGCAGGAAGGAAGTGTGTATGCAACTGAGCCCAACATCGAGTGTGAAACCTGAACAAGTAACAGCAGAACTTCAAAGAGAGCAACAGGCCTGAGTTTGCTTTAACCCACATACTGCTTCCCAGGAAAGTGGGAAGCCCAGCTCCATGGTGGTGACATATTACACAGACTGGAAATGACAGTCACACTGGTATTGCAAATAAACTGTGTAAGTGTATATTTGTACTGTGGTTTCAGTATATTGCTGGGTCACTCTGCTAAAACAAGAATCCCATGTAACACTGTGCATGTGAAATATCTAAAAAAAGATGGTCAGAGAATACTGGACTCCACAGCCTGTTATCCAAACTTACTTATCCTGTCATCCAAACTTTTCATGGACAATCAGCACTGACAGTTCTCTTTTTATGAAGGGCATCAACTGAAATACCTGACATCAGTTTTGCAGGAACAGTAAACCCTACGAAGTACACTTCCAAAAAATAAAATAAAATAGCCCTCCAAACATTTGAATGCTTCGTTTCCCTAAACTAAGGAACAGGACAGGAACATAAGCACTACAGCTCAACCCTCGACACTGTCCCTCTTCACTTGCAGGCTGTAGAAAGGGAACAGAGCCTAGTGAATCACCTCTCAGAGGCACTCTGGAACTAATTTCTATGAAGGGCTCAGCACAATGACAAACCTCACTGAAAGCCATTTCAAAGGTGCTCTGCGGACGAGGCACAGGGCCCTGCAACGACAGGGCAGGCTCAAGCACTGAATAGCTGCTCATCTGCCACCACCCGTCGCAGGCACTGGAACAGAAGCTGAGTTACAACTGCTAAACAGTCCTGTGAAACACCTCATGTAAGGGAGAATTCAAGGAGGCTTGCAACACTCAACTTTTTCTTAAATCCTAGATTAAGAACTAGTTTAAATTCTAATTCTTCTGAACTTGTTCTAAAAATTAATATCCACGTCCTCTAAAAGCTTCTGTGCACAGCAAATCTCATGGCTCATGAGATGGCATGGCAGCAGATTTTCAAAGCAATGCCACATGGGGTATTTTCCACACTTGAGAATTGTCAAAAATAAGAACTGCAAAGAACTCCTTAAAATTCCAGAGATGGGATTTTTTTTTTCTTTTACAGACTAGAACAATCAATATTGCCTATCATCAGTTTCTAAACAAAAAATGAAGTAGAAACCAAGTACCTTACAGTAAATAGTTGTTTCCAGGCTTTAGGCCTACCATTATGAAGAAGAATTCTCCAAATCTTAAAACTGGCTACAAATACTTCTGCTTCTTCTGACCAGCTCTGCTGAACAAAAACTTAGATAACCAGGAACAGGTAGGAACTTAATTTAATTTGCCTTTTTTTTAAAAAAAACCTTTTTAATGCAGGTAAGCTTGCTCAAAAAATACAAGGCTTATGATATGGGACTAATTTAAATTGCAGACTATCTGCATACAGACTATAAATAGTTCCACCAAAACTTAAGTAACTTATATCAAAAGCTACCCAATTACTTTACAAGCTAAGTTTTACATTAAAAGGAACATCATCCTCTTTCAAGCAGAAAGTCAGCCAATCCTAAAAGAGTTAATACCCAGCAATCCTGCAGACTTGTAAGACTAAACACTAAGTATTCAAAAATGAGAAAGCATCATATTTGTGTTCATATTTTTTTTCCACAGAAATATATTTTCATACCTCCAGAACAATCACAGTTCCCACCATCATCGAATACATGTCATATTGTGCCACTTGCTTGCTTAGTGAAGAACTCAGAGTCTTCAGGGCCTTCAGGTACTGCTTCAGGACCTTTTTGCCAAGATTTAAGAGTACTTCTGAATTATTCCCATCTAAGTACAGTTTGATCCAGTTACCATGGGACTTTTCTGCTATCTTGAAGTGCTCATATCCAGGATCTAGTAAGGGGGAAAACAAATGAAAAACAAGAAGGTAAGAGGATCCACGAACAGGAGAACAGAGACTTGATTATACCTCCATGTTTGCTTGTATAACATAAAAAAAAATTGTTTGCTATGGAGGTTAAAACACTTCAATACCCAGAAAGGTAAAATATCTTCGTGTAATAAAACCATAATGAGTCAAGCGCTCAGAATGAAAGCAACTGACCAGATAGAAAAAATGAAAGCCTCTAGAAAATAATAACCATATTAGAATATGTTTGATTTTTATAGAAGATTTCCAGGATTAACATATTTAAATTCTTTAAATCCTCACAAAACTTAAGCTTTCCACTGGAGACTCTCATTATCCAGCCATCACATGCAAGCCAAGTGGGAAATTATGAAACAGTTGATCTCTGGAGAAAACATTAAAGGATATAAGCTTGACATATCAAGAACCCTAATTACTTATGCTGCAAAGCTAATGAGAATTGGCTGGCAACATGGAGTGAAATGCACAAGATGCCACATACACAGGCACTAATGGTTAACAATTAAAATGCAATTTGGCTTCAAGCATTTGGACTATGCAACCAGTGACGGAGAAACTCAGCAAGTGTACTATTGCATGGAAACTGCCCACAGGTTAACTGGGGTGAAATCAGAAAGGAGAGAGAGGAGACAAAATTAAGTTGTTATTGACCTACAGAGGGAAGCCTCTGGTAGAATGTGATTTCACTGTGGCCTGGCCACATCTAAAAGAATTTTAACCTGAAGAAAAAATGAAAAACACTCAGGAAAGGACAAGCTCCAAGTCAATCACATATCTGTTGCCCATTTTTCGGAATTTTGTGTGAAATTATAGATTTGATTAAGTTTCCTGGCAATTTAAGTGTGTAAAGGGAACTGCTGTTGAGCACTGACACCAAGAGACAACCACTGGATTCTACTAATGCCCCTAAATCTGTAATAGCTTCTCTGTGGCCAGTTTCATAATGAAACAGTGACTATACCCACTCCTTCATTTTCATGAATCTGAAAGGATTGCTTGGGCCTTCTGTAAGTCAGAGGGTTTGCTTTTCAGTGAGTAAATATTTACTGTCTTATCTCATGTAAATATGCTTTCTCCTAGACACACAACACAGGCTTTTAGTAAAAATCATGGTCCAGAAAATAACAACCTCTGGCAACTGATTTAATTTGTGCCTCAACTCTTTATGAGGAAAATAGATAATCATCTTTCTTCTGTCTTGTGCCAAGAGTCTTCTGGACTGTTTTGCAATGTATTGTTCACTAAAGACACAATGCAGGTATTTTTAACTTTATTGCAAGTTCTTCAAGTGAATGAATTATTCCCATTCACAACAGTGGCATAGTTATGAAATAAATGTTTTTCTCTATTGCAAATTTGATTGTAAGTTATAACTTGAGCAAATTCCTTCCTCATCATCTGCTCCAGTTTACACCTGTCACTCAGTCTTCCTTTTCATTTCCTTAAGAATTTTTAATTCATACTTACCTGCCCACATCCACTGCCCACTAAAACTATCTTATTCATGGAGTGAAAGTTGACTGTGGTGATCAAACACACTTTTTTTTTTCTTTGAGGTACAAAGCCGGAACAATTTAAAGATCTCTCAGAATGAGGGAAATGGGCTACCCTATTTCATTTGGGAACTCCACCGTTATCTGTCTGATGACTTATTTGAAAGCAGGCAGCGCAAAACAAGGAGGGTCACAGGCTCCGAGCTGCTGCGGAGGCTGTTTGGGGCATGTTTATGCAGTATCGTGACATGGCATAATCGCAAAAGGAGTTAGACTCAAGGCAAAATACAAAGTGACCTTGCCCAGCAATCGGGTGGTTTCCCAGGGACACAGAATGGTTTATTTGCAAAGCATTATTTTAGCATTTTCTGATTGAGTCTCCATCTCCTGCTGTAACAATACAAATGGCTGGGCTTCCAAGCTCACTTCGTTCCAGTCACAACCAGCAGTCATTTTAAAACTGGTTAAGTATGAGGAAAAAATGGACTATGTGAAAGAGGCTTCTCCAGCTTCAGCGTATTCAGCTGTCAGATATAAACAAATGACTTTAACACATGCATCTAATGAAGATTATTTCCAAAGTTAAAAGTGGACATTCACTTTAATGAAAACATTCAACTTGCTCTCACATGTGACTTTTCATTCCACTTTTAATTTATCCTTTAAAGAAGCAGTCTTAGCTCAGCGTTTAGATGGATGTTAAGATCATAACTAGCTTCCTAGAGCTGCCTTCCTCACGCTGAGGTTACTCACAACCCCCAGCTGTGTTCTAAGCACTTTTCCCTTCAGCTTCTTCATTTTTCACAGCTCTTTTTATTCGTCATTTCCAGACATTTTTAGTTGCATGTGTTGTTCGCTAATGAAAGAAAACCTAACATCTCAAATAAGTACCTTCAGTCTTTTTTTCTTGAAATAACCAAGGCGAGTTTCAGGTTTCCTTAATTTAACCTTTTAATTTGCCTTATATTTTAACTTATCTGAAACACATTTAACTTTGAAGATTCCTTAGCCCCTCAACAAGCCAAAATGCGAGCCACAAGAAATGCTGTAAGAATGTCTCAAAACATTTTTCAGGTGAAAAGCATCCTCTTAACTAAAATGTTCCTGAGCTGCCTCAGCTCTGTGATTCCCTAAGTATGTATATTTAATATACAACTGAAGACCACAATATTTGTGTGCACTGTTCCAGTTTGTTATTAATACTAGATTGGCTGAACTCAAGCAACTCCAAAATTTTGTTATCAAAGAGCATGTAAGGCCATTCCGTCTTCCCATTTGATGATGTGATTCATTTCAATTGACATCTGACTTCCAACTTCTTGCATTAAAATTATAAGAACATTGCACCAAAAATTAAAGTATAAATTGTGCTATAACTTACAATGGGTGAATCTTTTCTCCCCATGACTCAATCATCATACTCAAGGTATTAATAGCTGGTGCTCTATGCAATCTAATTACAACACTCTTCTCGGGAATTCCGTGTTTTCCCCTTCAGAAGAGCACACTCCTTTTGATCTAAAGAGTTTAAAAAGAAAAGCAGCAACTTAGGCAATCCCTGTAAGTATCTGTCACTTCAGACTTTATGTTCCAGCAATATGCATTTTTTCTAGCATTCAGCTGAGGTTTTATCATCTGTCAGAATTGTTGTTAGAATAACATTAGAAAGCTTCAGCTCATGTTCAGCAAATGTGAGTGGTTTATCTCATTATTTTCTGCTTCTTCTTCTCCTCAAAAAAAAAAAAAAAAAGTAACACCTTGCATGTAGAATTCCTGTAACTGGCATGTAGAATTCCTGTAACTGGCATGGCCCAAGGATTTTCAGCTCAGATCTGAGGAGGATCCAGAGATCAACAAATAAGAGCCAAAGGCCCCTCATTCAACATACAGAGATTATAGACAAATATTGACATACCACTTATTTAACACTCTCAAAGTTTTCTCAAAAAGCATAGAAAATTCTGTTTGAGCACCTATCTCTCAGACTTATAATTATCAAGAAAATGAAGTGTTTCTTGGAAAAAAATAAGATGTAATTCTGGAGTCCTAACAGTATATTTCATTGGCCGAAATACTGTTGACCTACCTTTAGATTTTCAGATATTCATAAATTGAAAAAACTACTAAACAAAATTTCTTTTTAGATACTCTATCTCAAAAAGAGTTTGGACAAAAATGTTTCCAGTTATAAAGCTGGAGTATGAAAAAATCATCATTTGCAGAACCAGCAAATGGATACAGTTGGAAAAAAATTTTGGAGCTTGTCTAGTCCAATGCTTGTAGTCAGGCAGAGTCAAGCAGGGCAGGTTGCTCAGGGCTGTATCCAACTGGGTTTAGCGTATCTCCAAGCACAGAGACTCCACAGCCTCTTGAAGGCAAGCTGTTCCTGTGCTCAGTCACTCTTACAAAGAAAAAAAAAAGGGGGGGGGGGGTGGATTTTCTTGAAAGACTTAGATGCAACATCCTGCGCTTCGCTTTGTAGTGCCTGGGATTATCCCTCCCTAGGGCAGCACGCTGCACTTCCCTTTGCTGAACTTCATGAAGCTGCTGTTTACCCATTTCTTTGGTCTGTTGACATCCCTCTGAACAGCATGGAAACCAGCTGCATATCACACAGCCCTCCCAGCTCTGCACTGTGCACATACTTGCTGAAGGTGCATCCTGCCTAGTCATCCAGGTCACTAATGAAGATGTTAAACAGCAGTGGTTGCGGTACATCACTAGCAAATGCCCTCCAGCTGAACTTCGTGAGGCTGGTCACAATCCTGGGAGCCCAACAATTCAAGCAGTTTTCAGGCTACCTTACTTTCCATTTCTCTACCTTGACTTTATCAGCTATGAGGGTGTTATGCGATACCAGTGGTATTAGCAATGCTTTTCTGACAAGACAAACAATACCTGCTGCTCTCCACTCATCCACTAAGCCAGTCATCTCACCATAGGAGGCTGTAAGGGTGGTCAGGCATGTTTAATGACCCTCTCCTCCTTCATATCCTTGGAAATGGCTTGCAAGTTGGTTTGTTCCATCACTTTTCCAGAGATTGAAGTGCAGCTGACCATCCTGTAGATCCTCCTTCTTCCCTTCCTGAAGACTGGAGTGACATTTGCCTCCTTCCAGTCCTCGGTAACATCCCCAGACCAGTATGACTGTTGAACTATTACCAAGTGCAGCCTTGCAATGACATTGCCTGGCTCCCTTGGCACTTGTGGCTATATCCCATCAGGCTGCCCACGACTGTGCATATTCGGTTTGTTTAGATGTTCCCTCATCCAATCCTCCCCCACTGACAGTAAGTCTTCTCTGCTTTGGATGCCATCCGTGCATGTTTGTACAGCATCCGTAGTCCTTAGGGGTCATCACCTGTCCCTGCTTCCACTTCTTGTTTATCTTCTTTCAGTTCCTCCATACTTCTTGTATGCCTCTTTTTTAGTATCTGAGTTTATTTAGGAGTTCCTTGCTCCAGGAGCTCCTGGATATACAGGCCTCCCAAAGCCTTTGATTCCCAACACCGCGGATTTACTGGATGTGGGAAATGAGCTGTTTCAGATGATTTTAGGAAAAAAAAGAGTTAGCTCTCCTGGAACCCCCTTCTATCCACGACTGTATCCAAAGAGATTTTCCCAAGCTGAACAGAACAAAGTCTGCTCTTCTGAAGTCTAGAATTGTGATCCTGCTTTTTGCTTTGTTTCTCTTTCTCATGATCCTAAACTCCACCATCTCACGGTCGCTGCAGCCAAGGCTACCCCAAGCCTTCACATGCCCGATCAGTTCTTCTTTGTTGGTTAAGAATCAGGTCCCACAGAACTGCCCTGGTGTGTGGCCCCTCCAGCAGATATCAGGGTGATTAAAGTCCTCCATGAGGACCAGGGGTCCCGCGAACAAGAAGCTTCCTACAGCTGCCTGGAGAAGGTCTCATTCAACACCTCCTCCTGATCTGTCAGTCTGTAGCAGGCAACCTACAAGGACACCCATGTTGCTCTGCTGCTAATCCTGAACCTTGAATTCTCAGCTGGCTCACCATCTCCCAGCTCCATGCACTCCCATACATACGAAGGGCAGCTTTCCCTCCTTGCTTCCCCTGTTTGTCCTTTCTCAAAATGGATCTGATTATGGAGTCCAATGACTTGCAAGATACACCTTTTGCCTAGGGGAATCATGAAAGATACGCACACGTGTGCCTGTGTTTGTAAATGTGATGGATGGGAGGGTATTTATCCTCACTTGGAAGTGAGTAAAGGGCAGTTCATCTATGTCTTTAGACTACATGTGGCTGTAGTCACTGACATAGTGGCCTTACCTTTAGTATTTCTACAGCTTGAAGTGTCTACAGCAATGAGAATTAGCACTAAACAAACAGCAAGACATCTCGTTTTCTGTGCTAACCTTATGATCATCATGAAAGTTTCTTACAGTACCTATTAAGGTACAATTTTACAGACGTAGAACCCTCAAAAAACATTAGGGGTTAATAGAGCAACGTGGAGAATTTAGCTGAAGACTCACCAGGAAAACTATAATGACTTGGATCTGGTTCCATCTTTTCGTGACTCTATATTACTGAAAGAAGTTAATCATGGATGCTTTACCTTACAAGCCTTCTCTGGAAGTGCAGGATCACTAACAGCAGTTCACAGTATCAAGCAACGTAAAATTTATTAGTGATTCCACCCTGAGCAATTTTGATTTCACCTATCAGATGGAAGCCAGAAGTTGAAATTAAACTGTTCCTGCTCAAAAATCAGCTAAAAGCTCATGATATAAAACTAAAGCTTGGTGAAGCTTCAGTCCCTTTGACCAGCACTTGTAGAAGTACTGTCAGATGGTGCTCGATACTGCAATTTTCAGTACTACATCCATATCCATAACACATCAACAAGAAACACTACCTATTTATTTCAAGTGAAGAAATCTATGTAGGAAAAAAACAGAATAGATGGAGTACAGGCCCTACTATTAACATCTCCCTGCTGTAAGCTGCATGTTTTTGTTAAGACTCACAGACAGGGTTTAATTATGATTAGCAGCCATGATGTTGAAAGATAATTAATTCTTGACCTACACTGATCATCTTGCTAAAGTTAATATTATTATTCACTTTAATTATTCATGACTGTAACACAACTCTGGATTCCCTTCCAGTTATGCAACTTCTAACCTGATGAATCACTTAAGTGACAAGCACTTCAAGCTTCACAACTATTTCCTCTTTTTTTTTTTTTTTAAACATATAATTATCACATTAGTTTGGGTATTTATGCTATAGTCTGTATCACACATCTCAAACAAATGCTAATTTTGAAGAGGGAAGACCAATTTCACTCATGTCTTTTATTCTTTCACTTAAACACATGCAAACACACAGGTAAACACTTATGTGTACACTTCTGTATAAAGCTTCCCAGCTCTCTAGGTTCTCTGAGTAAATTCATACATACCAATGAAATAAAAAGACAGGCTTATCCTAAATAATTTTGCAGTATTATCTAAACTTTTTACATTAGAAAATCTATTTCATTGTGCTAGGTTTCAAACAGCTTTCAGAATCAGTGTCCCATGAACAGCAGATGTGAGGGGACTGAGTCTAACCATACTGGCAGTTCTTTAACTGTGTTACAGTTTCATTATTGCTTCTATTCTTTTGCCTGTTAGCAGCAAAACAGGCCATTAGAAATGTTCTTTCAGATGCAATGTGCCAGAGTAGATAAAAGTAAACAGTAAAATAAGTGTCATATCCCTGAGCATCAATTTCAACTGAGTTTCAACTAATCTGCAGTTTCGTGCTACACTCTTGAACCTAAAAGACCAAACTGTATTAAAAACAATCTCGTGTTAGTAGGTAAATATATTGTAGTGCAGTTTTTTTTGTTTTAGTCGATTTACCTTTTTCGTATGCAGGTGTATTCTCTTGCAGCAGTCTGCTAAGTTGGAATCCATTTAAGTGCAAGAAGCGCAGTTGTTCTCTCATAGTCTTGCCTCCCACAACCGGCAATATAAGGTTCCCAACACTGTTCTTTGAAATAGGTAGACCAAGACCTACTGCCAGTGTGCTAGCTAAGTCTGTCTGCTGCACAACTTCGGGTTGGCTAAAAGGACCTAGAATCAAGGGAAAAAAAATTACCAGCTACAGGACCATTCTAGAATTCAATTGTCAGCAAATACCACTCTTCAATGATAGCAATTACTGTAAGCACATTGTGAATGCCATACAAATAGGAAAAGAGATGGTCCATGAGACCACTACAGCATCAAGCTGCAGCCTGCATCATAAAAGACAAACAGAACTACATATCAGGTAAAAGACCCAGACGTAATTTCTGCAGTTCCATTTGGTGAAATCAGTTATTTAAGCCCGTTCTGTGCAGGACCTCATTAGTTTACTGCAGTAAGCAGAACAGTCCCTAGTCCCACAGACACCGACACGCAAGCATGTTTTTGCTTATCTAAGTAACAGTTCATTTAAGATTGCTATGCTAAGAAAAGTTCCTTCTGTACCTTACTAGATACACAGCGGTGTTTTTTTCAATTATCCTTTTACTTAGCTCTCTTCGTAAATCTAAGCATTTAGTGTTTGGGCTCAAGAACATGATAAAAATTCCGTACACAGTATCTACTACTCTCAAGGCTTCCTTTAAGAGCATTAGAAGTTCTCTCATTTCACATCCAGTTGTGATTATTTTCAAACCTTTGAATGCCATCTATAATCCCTAAATCCTTTTTGCATGAGTACCTCTGCATCAGCACCTTTCAGTTTACACCATTAAAAGGTAAGCTTTGAACTTGACTTTAACTTTTACTTGGGAAAAAAAAAAGGCCAAACTCCCAAATACCAAAAAAGCCAAGTTACCATTTAGCCAAATCTGAGTGAAACATCTCTGTATAAGGCAACACAAGTAATATTCTGATGGCATACTAAATGCAGATGTCTATCTGATCACTACTTTTAAGCTACCAAACTGACCATAGTACAGTTTTTTTGAAGTAGGATTATAGGGAATAAAACTAGAATTGAGGTTACTGAAGCAACGAGAAACAAGCTACTGAGTATTTTCATGGACACCGTTATAAATCACAAACTTGGTCCTAAATAAAGCAAAAACGCACATCTAGGTTAAAAGCAACACAGAGTATCAACCACAGTGAGAAGATAATTACAGAATGCACTTAAGAATACTTAAGTAGCCTGGCAGTTAACAAGTAGCAGTAAGACATTTATAAAGTAAAAACTTACCTGGGAGCTTTTACCTTTGTTCTTTTTTTGACTTTGTAATCAGCTCTTAACTTTGATTTATATGTGTGTATCTGAAAATAGCTTAATGATTCCCAAAGCAATGCTTTGTGTTTCAGCTGCCTACCAGTTTCACAGGTAACAGACAGATAAACAGACTTTGGCTGTGCTGCAGAAGCCATCAAGAAAAACAAACTAAGGTTCTGCAGGCATACTTTAAAAGCAAAGAAATCAGGCAGAAATAGGCAAAATGCACACTGAAAGGCAGAGGGAAGTGTTATTTTGAAGAAAATATTTATTCCTGTTAAAATAAGGTGGGCAAGAAGGTCTGTGAGACTAAGCACTGTTGCAAACAATTAGTGTTCTCTCCCATTAACTTAAGTCATGTCCTGCAAGTAGAAAGTGTCAGAAACAGATAAACTCAATCTAGTGATGTAAAATGAACTGCTTGGGCAATACAGCAAATACATTCACCCTCAATATTCTGTCCTTAGATACTTAGCAATCAATAATCATGTTTTCCCTGCTGCAATCTCTTACCATTTCACGAAGGTAATTCCTCCCATTTGCCTGTACTCCTGTATTCACAGCAAGAGAAACTGGCCTTTATTCCTCTCTCCTGGCTCTCCTAGAGGTAAGCATGGAGGGCAAGGAAAGACTCTGGCTACTCAAAACAAAACTTACAACTCACTACAAACAGGATTTTTGTTTTAATCCAGGTATGCTAGAAAGAGGCACCCCTTAAGAATTTTCAAACAACTCTAGAGCTAATATGAATTGGATATAGCACTATATTTCAAGTAGGGTGTTTTTTGATTCTTACCACTTCTCTTTTCAAAAGCAGAGCTGACAAATAGCAGTGGTGTGTGCACTTCTTCTTCTGAAGAACCACCATGACTGCCTGTTTCAGACATTCCATGATCCCCACAAACAACTAGTAAATTGGGCAGAGAAGCCTCTCCTTCCTGCAATTCAGAAAAAAATAAAAATAAAACTTCCAACACTGTAACAAATAAAATGCACATCCAAAGTTCTTCAATATTTGTATCCTATTCATATATGAATACCTTGAAATAATTTCCATATTTTAATTGGCATATAACATCTAGGGTAGATAAAGAGACATCCTCAGTGAAGTGTTATACAAAAATATTATTTTTAAAAAAATAAGATATACTTCCCTATAGCAAGCATGATAAAAAAAAAGATCTACACGACCAGAAGAAACTGATCAAAAGAATAAACACAGGTCCTCACGCTGCGATAAGAAAATCAGGAGTACAGAAGTAATAGCATTGGCTGAAAATTTTTTCTCATGCAGTTTCTTCAGTTTATTTGAATTTTCAGACATGAATTTAAAGACATTCCTATCCATAAACCATATTATGAGGAAGGGGATTTAACTAGAATCAAGTGAAACAAATAAAGCAAATAAAAAAAAATTACATGCTTCCATATTAGACCATGAGCTTTAAATTCAAACAGGCTAAAGAAATTATTTTTTTTCAAAAAAAGTTTATATTCAAATATCTTCTCTAGTTTCTCAAGTGACTTTAGGGTAGAAATTTAACATATCTGATGTCAAATGATGTCCAATTTTCTGAAGAAAGAGAAACAGAGGTCTAAGTGAGGTCTGTTCTTGCAGTGCCAGCTGCTTACCAATACCTGCTGCATCCAGAACTGCTTTTATCATTTCTATGTTCTAAAAACAACATAAATTCTTGCATATAACTTGCAGAAAACTTAACATATTGATAAACTGTGCCAAAAGCACTGTAATAATATAGATTAAATTTTAACTTTCACAAGCAGGATTTTATCCTCTCTTTTGGTATGAAACCATCTGTCTATCTAAAAATAATTCTAAAATTTTATGAGCTGCTATTTTGAACTCCAGTCATTCAAGGAATAATCTTTAGGCCACTTGGAGTTAGGACTTGGTAATTCAGCAATCAGGTTATTTTGTGAACTGACATCCCAAGTCACCAACTCAAAAAAAAAGGAAAAAAGAAAAAAAAAAGATTTGACAATTGAGATGCTCCATTTAACATAAGAAAAATGCTTTTTACAACAATCATTTCAATCTTCTCCGTACCTGTGAACTAGATAGACCTTAATAACTCTCTAAATGAAAATCACTAGTTATACATGCCTCCCATTCCTCCAGCTGAATTTCACTAATAGAAACCACCATTTTAATTTGTGAATGAGAGCAGAATTTTGACACCAGTTCTCCTTCTCCTCCCACACAACAAGGGGGCTTATTTCCCACAATTGTTCAGAAGAGATTCTGGAAAAGGAAGGGAAGGGGAAGAACAGAATATTCACTGACATAGGAGTAAACTATCACTCTCGAGCAAAGGGTTTCAATGAATATAAATTCAATTTTAATGGACAAATATCAGATTTTATCCAAGAACATGATATGTTACCTTTGAAAGAAGAGAAATATGAATCTTTTTGAGGATATTATCCATTTCATGAAGCTTCGGTCCCACTAATGAGCTGTTTGGTCCAGTCACATGACCAATATGGTCTAGTCCTAGATAATGTAATATTAGGATATCCCAGTCTTCTCTCTTCAACACTCTGTCCAAGTGCCTGGTAACATTATCATCAACCTCAGAAATGAAAGGGAAACAATTGAAAGCTAACAAAAATATAAATATAGAAAGGAAAGAATAAATTGTACTACCCAAAAGGTTCCAAAATATTGGTGAGGACTCCAGTCACTCACAAATTTGAAAGAAAGAAAAATTCAATCTGATCAGTTCAGTGCCAAGCAGAGTTAGAAATTCTGTCTCTCAAAACACATTCTTTATCCCATTTCACTCCCTTCTGGCTATGAAGTGTCAGATTACATGCAAGCAAGAAAAAAATCGTTTGTTGATTCTTCCACAGATACTTTTAAGAAAGTTGTTTCAAAATACATTCAGTCACTTTCGTATTCTGCACTACTGATTTTTGACTTCAAATGATGTTAGTGAAGTGAACAGCCTCTGCCTGGAGTTTGGAAGCATAGAAAGAAAAAACATTTCCACCTCTTTCATCTTAAATCTTTGCTAACGTGTAAACACAGATTTTATTTATTGTGGGAAAAAACACTGATCACCTATCAAAAAAGAACAAAGATTAGTTCAATGCTACCTAAGGCCTATTTGGTCTGTTCTGTTTAGGTTGATAACACATTTTTAGTTGCACACACATTTCTCCCTGGATATTAAAATTATTTAAAGAATTTCAAATGCAATACTAACTTGTTGACTCTGGTTATAACTATTTAAACTATTATCAAAGCTTTCTAATTAATAAACTTTCAAAAAGAAAAAGAGTGCATAAAAAGCTTGAGAGTTATGGAACCATTGACCAAAGATCATGTTCACATTTTTCCAAACCATGCTGAATTCTCACAACTCCTTATTAGAGTAACCAAGCAAAAATGACTTCCACTCCCCATATAAGCCTAATTTACTTCTTTAAACGTGGTAATAACATATTTATGTAAGTAGCAGCAGGTTAATGGCTTGAGGTTTTATAAGCTATTAAGGTCCATAATGCAAATTGAAATTGCGGAAACAATCTACTCTTTCAGTATTCCCAAGGGAAAAAAAAAAAAAGAGTTTTAACAGTTTTCTTCATCTACATTCTGTGCTCCCTCTTTGCTAATATATTGAAATAATATTCATTTGGAACTACAAAAGGTATGCAACAGCTGTATGCCTGTAAGACAGATTGTATAGTATTTGGCCTTTTAAAAATGGTCAGTACTAATACAAATGTGACAGACTGGAAACACAGATTAAACAAAGCGATGGTCTAATCTGCAACCAGAACAAGTTTTGTGAGTAGATCATGCGATGGTTTATGAAAAGTCAGGGAGTTCTTTACTAGGTGCATCACTTATATACTTCCCACAGCTCTTATGCCAACTGATACACACCCAAAACTCAAATTTCTATTGAATTGTCAAATTCATATTTAAAAGAAAAGGATATTTTTATTCATTTAATTTCTCTTAGGAGTCATTTTTCAACTTGCGATTATAAAAAGCCTCTCACCTCTGTAAAATCTGACACGAAGAAAGATGTTGTTCCATCATACTCCACAAAATGCTTCGGAAACAATTTAACCCAAGTATCATCACCATAGAAAATCATTCTTTTTCCAGCTGTTTTTGCCTGCCATATCAAATTGTCATCCAAAAGAGCTGGAGAATTGAGGTTCACAATAACATCAATAAAACCAGGTATGCTACCAGTCATCAAAGCCTAGGTAAAACAAGAAAAGACAAGACCCAGGTAACATAAACTAGAAGAAGGGTGCTTAGAAGAAAATGATAGAATAAGATGAAGTAATGAAGAGTGTAAAAAGATTACATTTTCAATGAGGAATCACAACAGACTTAAAGAACGTATGAACTCAGGCCATATCATTCTATCGCCTTCTGATTTCTGGCATCAGACAGCATGAGTCGTTTTAAAAAGGTTAAAAATAACACTTTCCTAACTAGTAGTTAGTAAAAACCCTTTATATCTCAGTTGAAATTTACCTGTAGGGCTAAGGAAATCACCAAGCGAATGCCTGAACCACCCAAGTAAACTGTTTTAACACTATGCCAACAGTGTAGGACATTACAAAACAGTAAGCAAGACTCCCAGGAAAAACACAGTCCAGCTAGCAGGAGTTACAAGGTTTTTTTCCCAACCTCCAGAGCACTGTCTCTCAACTTACTTAATGCACAAAATGTCCAGCAGTGACATCTCATTGAGTGAATCACTCACCTCCGGCATGAAGAAGCCCAAATGACCAAGCATGCCAATGACACAGCCAGGGTTTATCTTTTAGTTAGCTGGAACTTGGCATAACTCTCTTTTTACACTCTGCAAAAGCATCCCTATGAGGTTTTATATGTATGCCACACCAGATTTCCTAGCAAAAGGTACAGGAGCCATGAGAAACACTAGCAAAAATGCTCAAAAATGCTCTTGTATAGACGAAACTAGCATATTTTTGATTACCGAGAGGCTATTACTATTTCCACTGAATGAAAAGACTATGTCAATCATTTGTATGTTGATCATTTGCACTACAGCTTTAACTGCCCTTATGATGTTTCTCACAGACCTTCCTAGCATGGAGCTACCAAACGAAGGGACAAAACACCTACAACCAAGTGTTTTTTAAGTGGAAGCTACCAGCTTCCTTTGATGCCTGAACTTTTCTACAAACAGCACATGTAGATCATGGAAAAATAACATTAAACTGCATGCTCTCCTGAGTAAATTTATCCACAAATCAGCAGTAACACGGAAAACCTGCTCCTTATGCCACTCTGAACATAAGCAAGACCCAGGTCTTTCCAATTTTCTCAAAGTTAAAGGTGTATGAAATAACCCCAAAGTGAAACAAATGGCTTACCTTAATTCGAGGCATAGTCACAGTGGGTGGCTTTGCTTCAGCAATGAAACTGTGGGATGTCCCTTTCTCAACAACCTGTGTAGTATAGGGCATGAACTGTTTACCTTTAGGTCCAAACACAAAGTCATCTCTCAAAGCATCTATCAGCACAAGGACAACTTTTTTGAAAAGTGGTGGTGGAATTTTTGTCCAGTTAGAAACCATTCCTAAGGAACAACAAGAAAAACACATAAAGCTGTCAACAGATTTTAATATTTGCTACATACAAGTTAAAGAACAACTTCATCACAGAAATGAGTGCTAAATTCAAAAGGGGAGAAGCTGCAAACAATGGTAAGCATTTGAAGTAATCAGAAGAAAGGGAATTTTCAGGCCGTCTAGCACAGGAGTAACACAAATAATAATTCCTACAGAGCATGTAGGAAGAAAAATCAAGCATGCACAATAAAAAGCAAATGCACTATGTAAAATTGTGAGAGAAAACCCACATTCTTTAACATGAATGTTTAAAAATATTAGAAGGGATAATAAACTAAACAAAGAAAACACTGTACTACATATATGCAAACAGATATCCTTAATGTGGGTGTAGGGCTGTCACAGCAACCATTCAGTGGCACTGAGGTGGTCCGCAGTGACATTCTGCCCTTGCAGCAGCAATTTTTGGTCCTATACCTCAATCAGGAAAAAGGCAGAGGGACACAAATGAGAGTGGACTGGACTCTACCCACAGATCCCTACTCAGAAAACACTGTGGTCAACTTCTCAGTATATATTATATGCTATGTGTTATATGTTGATTATATAAATCTAGCATTCAGAAGCACGCTTTTTATTCCAATGCTAGATTGCTTCTGAATAAGCAACTACACTGACTCCCTCCTACAGCATGATTCATAGGTAAGTCAAGGTATTAGGGAGCAGGGCACAAGATTACAAGCCTTCAAAGGCATACACTGTGCACGTGTTGTAACACTATATGCAGACTTGCACCATATGCTTATTTATGTCCGGTACGGTTCTTTATAAAACAGTTACTTGAAATGAAGCTTTACTGGTGCAAGAAATAAACAGAAACACTGGTTCTACCAGAAACCAATGGTGTGCAGTGACATGCTACAAGTAAGCACGTTACTTACTAGTAAGTCACTAGTAAGCAGGCAACTCCACAACTTTTATTACGTGCCCCAGGAGCAAGGTGTGAATGACTGAAACAAAATTACATTTTTAAACAGCTCAAGAATGCACATAAAGCCTCCTGTGTCCTCGTTTCACAAGCAATTCCCACCTCCAGAGCACATTTACCAGATCAAGAGATCATTCCATAAGCAAATTCTAACCCAAGAGCCTGTTGTTGTAACCAGGGCCAAATCTTCTGTACTGTCACTCCATCTTTCTCTGAGTATTTCCAGAAACCTCCCCAGCGCAGCCCACCTAGTATCCCCTGCAGTTTTAGTGCTCCCCAGTCTAAAAACAAACTGCCCTTCGGCAGCTTCCGCTGGGAAGCTTCCAGATTTGCCTCCTTTCAGCGATCTGCCCCAAACGATGTCAGGACGTTACGCTCCGAACCACACAACCCTCCTTCCTTACCGCTTTTTCTTGGCATCTTAAGCCATCCCGCCCCAAATTTCATAGTTTTAGACACAGTCGCAGGCTGCTCGTAAGCAGGTGACACGAAAACGGGCGTTTTACACCCAAAACTGCTGTTGCTTCATCCAACAATACTCCCCGACCGCGA